GTGTGCTGATGCATGTGATCATGTTAAAGTTTATTGAGCATCACTAAAAAGCAACAATGCTCATCCACACTCATCTATGATTATAAATTCCTAAAGCTGCTGAGGTAAACATGCTAGTCGGCCATGAGACGTTCTGCAGCTGCTGCTCAGTAGTCAGCTGCCATTATGCTGATGTTTAATTTAAATTGCTACAGTATTCTGGGGGTTAGCTACTTACATCTATATCCATTTATTCCTAAAGTCTTCTGCAGTTCAGGGAAAAGAGAAACTCATAAATGTTGACCTCAGAAGTCAGAACCTGTGGAGAACTGTACCAAGCCAACTAAATGGCTGTTTCACCTCCAGAGAGGTCAAAGATTTTTCAGCAGAAATAAGAAAAGGGGGGGTTGTGTTTGTAAGACAAAAGAAAACCCAGTACATAAATCCCTTCAGGCAGTCCGGAGCTGTAAGTTTTAAAGTTTTCTACTCAGCAATTTATAGTTCAAAATGCATCTAACCCAGATCCAAACTGCCTCTGGACGTCTGGGCTAAAACTGAACTAAAAGTGAAAGTTTCCTTAACACCTCAGCTGACTTTTTAATTAGAAAACTAAATATAGGCTAAAATGTGATCTCTGTGAGCTAACTGGTGCAAAGTTCTCATAACTCCACTGAAACATACAGTTGATTCCTGAAATTTAGATACACTGAATAAAAACATCCATCCACCTTTTATTCTCAGTCTGACATTAAATCAGGTCAAGTTAGCTTTACCAAACTTATTTTTAAAAGCCAAAATAATGAGAATAAAAATATCCCAGATTTATTATATGTCTTCAAAATCAGAAGTTTACATACATTTGTACCACAGTAACACATCTAACATATTCTTTTCTTCCTTACTTTGGCACTTAGTAAGTAGAAATAATTTTGGTAATTATAACTTCCAACTGTAAGTTTGTGAACAAATTTGTATCTAAGTTAGTCAAAAATATTTCATTATCTTCAACTCCACCCACATCATAAAGGAGGCATCATTTTTTGTCATCATCTCTGTCATGTGCTCTGTTCATATCCATTATTTAACTACAAATGGATTTTGGCCTTGGAATAATTACATCACGTTGCCATCATACCTACCAGTTCCCTCTGCAAATTCACCCACTGAGTCAGATTATGAAATGCTCAAAAGAGCTCCATTACAGAATGTAAAGCTTTAATGTAGAAAATGACTAGAAGAAGATGATTTAGCTGTACTAAGTTTCATCTGAATTAACCACTGCACTTCTGGGACTTTCACTGGATAAATGAGACCAATAGAGTGTCATGTTTGAATGCAGACATGATTCAGATTCAAATAGTTTATTGTAATTTATGATGCGTTTAAGGCCTTCACAGACCTTTCCTTATCTGTATAAGTAAGATGTTTGTATTTCACAATAAAGCAGGCGCTCTTTTTCAGAAGCTTTAAAATTGGCGGCCAACAGGTGGAAACCCACCTCAATCCGCTGCAAACACATGAATGATTCAAACTCCAAACCACACAAACAACAAAAATGACGCAAGAGAAAAATGCTGCTAAAGAAAAACAGTTTGTGTCCAGGATATGTGGGGTCTGCAGAGGTGTTACCTGGCCCTTTCCTGCAAGAATTGGGAAAAAGCAGACTTGTCCCGACTTTAACTGAATTTCATATCAACTTTATATGAGGAAAAAAAACATCCATATTTGACAAATAATATTTCTACTGATAAATTTTTAAATCAAATTAATTTATCTCTTTTTTAAAACACATTTCAATCCAATAAGTGCATGCAGCTTTATTAATTTAACCCACATCTTTCATTCATAGAGATCTGAGCCATGTTCTGCAGGGATTCCAAAGTTTTTCTTACAACTTTTGCTTATTGCACCTCATGTATATTTCAGTATTTCTAGGAAGATAATGGCCTCACTCCAAAGACTTGCCTTGTCTTATAAAGCAGCAACAGGCTCGTCAGGCTGCTTGTCAAAGGGAATTTTACCAGCACAAATGTTTTCCATGTTCATGAAGAAAAGGGGAGGAAGGGGGGAAAAAAAAAGCAAATTGGAACATCAAAAGGTTTTGTCCTTGTTGAGCGTACGGCTCTGTTCACGACGACCAAATTGGTGTTTAAATTGACACTCCTGGTGTGGATTTAAAACGAGATGCCACACGCTCTGATCAAAGGAGAACTCGCTCACTTTGATTAAGTCACACCACATGAGGCAGACCTGTGGGCTTTCATCAGCACGTTTTAGAAACACAGGCTCCACTGGGGACTTTACAGTTGATTTACAAAGAGCTTCTTATTTTTATTTATTTATTTCATATTTGTCATTAAGGAGAACCTATGTAGGGCAGAGAACCTCATCAATAGCATTTTCTCTGGGGTTTGACATCTACATAACTGAAAAGGATGAGAGCTGCTTCTTTGGACAGACCGTTTAATTCTAACATAATGATGAAGAAGGAAGTAGGATGATAGAAAACATAATGTGACAGGGGAAAATTGCTCCTCACACACCTGTCACTGGAGGTTTTCCTGCAGTTTTTGACTTTTAATGAGAGCAAGTCCTGACTGAGCATCAGCTTCTACAGTTAAAGTAGTTTCATTTGACCTCAGTTAATATGGCTGACCGCTCCAAACTGAAGCTGAATACAACAAAAATCAACAGAACAAATGTCCAGCTTTTATTCAAATTGGAATTTTATATTCCTTCCCTCAGGTGTGTGGAATACTCAAAACATGTACTTAAGTAAGAGTAGTGCTAATTCAGTATGTTTTAATTAAAGTAAAAGATAATCTATCCAAGAAATTACTCAAGTAAAAGTGCAAAAGTATTTTGTAAAAAAAAATATAAAGTTGTGTTATTTTAAAGACTAAAAAAATGAAAAATAAATAATTATGAAATTACAAATTTTAAGCAAAAGAAACACTTTTCAATTAAATTATTTTAAAATAAAACTTTTGAAATAACATAAACTCCAGATCTGCATTGTCATCTGGTACATTTTTGGTCAATATATATTTGTTTTTCACTCACCAAATTTTCTCCCAGTGGGTAGAGTATCCAGAAATTTTACTCAAGTAGAAGTAGCAATACTTCAAAATAATATTAAGTAAAAGTAAAAGATACAGAGCAATATAAAAATATTTTTTAAATACATTACACAGGTAAATGTAACTAGTTGCTACCCACCTCTGCTCATTCCCATTTTGCAAGTTTCATTTTTTCCTAAAAATGCAAATGAAACTCTGTTTTAATTCACCTTTTGTGAATTAAAACAGTTTATTTAGTGAGAATAAATAAAGTTACCAAGCTTAAATGAGCTTCATCACTTCTGACAAGGAGAGAGGTCAAATATTCTGCCGTAATCGTTCCAGACGCTAAAAAGAGTCATTTAACCCAAAAATAATGAGGACAAATTAGAAAAATTCCACAATGAGTTCAAACTTTTGCATCCAGTTCTTGTTTTTAAAAATCATTTGGCTGCTGTATAATCACTCCACCCAGTAAAAAGTGTGATTCAAAGAAATAATTAAAGGCAAAAAATTAATTTGATATGATGTCTATGATAAGTGCATTTAGGCATCTGACCCTAAACTGCAAGTGACTAAAGCTCTCATTCAGACATTTGGTCCAAAATAGATCATGTAAAATGTATCTTTTCCTTCTAAATTAGTAGAGTCTGCAACTGTTTCTTGCACATTCTTCAATAACTATAAAACCAACACTAACAGGCAGCTTTTATTTTCCTGTAGTTTCTTTGGACAACATAAGTGCATAAAATAAGAGATGGTGTTCTACATTTTCTGACCTCATTATACACTAAAAACACATTCATAGCGCCATGCCCATTTATAATCTGTGTAATTTGGTTCACACACCAAGTCTTCTTAAATAAATTAGATTAGCCCATGCCTCCTGCAGTTCCATAAACTATTTATGGTAACTTTTAAGTTACTATTAAGTCTATGGAGCAGAGCTTTATTTTCCTTCAGCTGTTTTTTACAGCCTATCCGTATCGGATCAATGCTACCGTGGTAAGAACAGTATGTTAGTTTCAGACTGAAATTTTATTTCAACTTTTATATAGTTTCTCAGTGCCACCTCAAAAAGACGTTGGTTTAATTTGTTCTCAAATGCTAAAATGTTGCTATTTTTGTTTTTCTATTTTTACTGGTTGTCATGTTAATATGTTATTAAAGTTTTTTTTAGATTCCTATAATCTTAGTCCAAATTCTGTCCTATGTAAGCCAAGAGTGGATGTTTTTGAGGATGTTTTCTTATATTTATTCCCGATGATTTTCTCAAGATAACGAGTTAATATCAAGAAAGCAAACTTTGCACCAGTCATCTCGTTTTCTTGAGCTAACCTCAAGAAAACCATCTGAAAACAGAAAACATCCATGTAGTAAAACAAAAACCTAACAGTCAGAAGTTTGATGTATCAAACTTAAGTAAAAGTATTGGTATCAGTATTGGTGATAGTGACTCAGTATCAGATTGAGAAAATATCCAATATTACACCTCCAATGTGTTTAAAGGAAGAATCCTCTGAGTAAAGACACATAAGATGCATTCAAGTATAAACACACTTGAAATGAAACAAGTTTGTCCATGAGAGTCATTCCGTTAAACTATTTCAAGTCATTTCAGCTGTGTTGAACTATCACTTCCCACTTCCCTGTTGTGATCAGCAGGGGTTGCAGCATGTTAACAATTTAATGCAAATGTTTCATCCCAACAGTATCGCCATTGTGGCTGAAAAAGAGGATGGAAAGGAGCAGGAGAGTGATAAAAATGCAACCTCTAAAATGTGTATCAGTACATAGAGCAGAAGCCTCCCCCCCCAGGCTGCATTCATAAATACGTTATGAGCAGGGCTGGCCACTCCGGCGGTGATGGATATTCAGGGCGAAGGGAGGGCCGTGTGAGCGCAGCATGTAAAGGATCACTGGGCCGGAGTCAGTAACACACCATTAACTGACTCCTCGGGATGCAAACACTCTGGGAGGAGAAGGAAACCTGGCTGCTCCGGAAATCAATATGTTGAGCGCTTCAGCGTATCAAGTAGAGGAAGTGTTTGCCAGAACAGGATCGCTTTAAAACTCGTGGAGCAACAGGGAAGGTGTTGTACGTAGCTGTGGTAGATGGGCTTTACTGTGCCAGATGACACAACATGCAAAGATAACTGCACTGCAAGTGATGAATACCTTTTGCTCACGGTGTGCACCGCCATTAATCCTCTGCACAGGTAATTGGAATTTCATAGCTACAATTTATTTTCAAATAGTTTAACAAACCAAAACCAGACCAAACTAA